GTGGGGAGGGAGTGAGGGCCGGGCTGGGCCCCTCAGCCCCGCCTCGCTCGCCCGGCCTGCTCGCGCGTGAGGGGGCGCGTCGTGCTGTAGGGTAGTAGCCGATGCTGTGCGCAGCACGCGTGCACGATCAGGCACAGGGAGTGGCGAGGGGGGACTGCGCTTGAAACCTGGCTAAGAACTTTTTAATCCAACTACTCAGTTGGTGTAACGAAAGATATCTTGTCTCCCCAAAGCACTTGGCCTGCCTGTGCCCTTACACCAACACGGCTACAGCCAAAAAGCCAGCATACAACAGCGTGCAGCTACCGTGCAGTAAGAAGAGAAACAGTCTGTGGTAGCACGCAGCAAGCCTGCAGTGTTAATAAACACTAATTAATATGCACTATTATGCAGCGTATGCAATAATAAGAGAAACAGTATGTGATAATAAGCATGTGGTGTTAATAAACATTAATTAATATGCACTAGCTTGCAGCCCTGGTGTAATAATAAGAGAAACAATATGTAATAGTATGCGGCAAGCATGCGGTGTTAATAATCATTAATTAATATGCAATAGCCTGCAGCATATGGAATAACAGGAGAAGCAGTATGCGATAGTATGCAGCAAATATGCCAGGTTAATAGAAATAATGTCATCAGCAACAGGAATAATCTCTCTGAAGCTCTGTTTAGGATCTTGGGATTTGCCAGACTTAGAAGCAAAAGCACACCCAACTTTGATGCACCACCTAGAAACCAGAGGGTCCTCTTCCTCATACAAACTTGGAAAATAAAAGGTGGGTGTAAAATAATGCTTTTTTTGCCCCTTGAGAGCACATGGTTGCCTTTGGCTCATTTGGGAAACTCAACACCATTCCTTCATAAAAATTCAACTGCTTGAAGTCTAAGCAGTATAGATTGAATGAAAGCTCACAAATGCAGGCAGCAGTACTAGTGCAGAGCTCACGCTGCTGCCAGCCACTGCCCTACGCTGCTGCTGCTGCTCTGTGTGTGGCTGCTGCCACCCCCCAGCACCCCCCCCTTCTGACAAAGGTTGAAAACCCCCACCTCAGATAACCAGAATTTTTAGATACCTGGCACCTTCCTTACCTCACCCATGTTGGTTAACACAGCGTGTGCTGTATGTACATTTTTACACAACAGGGATGTGCGTCTGGAGTACAAATTCCTATTTGTGTAAATTCTTATCTTTTATAAGTTATTTTCAATCCATTTAGGTAAGAGACAGAGTAGGGTGGCACCTTAGGATGGAAATGTATCTTATTTGTGCTGCCATAATATTTTTTTTTATGGCAACACAAATTGTGAATGAATAGACATTGCTGCACTTTGTCGTGGTGCGTTAAAGGAGAATCGGTGGTGGTACAAAAGGTAATAATAGACTCTGCCTCTTTATTGTGGTTGATGTCTGTTTAACTCTGGCAGGAGAACACGGGTAGCCTGAGCTGCTCACACCCTCTAGCCATCCTGGGCAGGTACTCTGGAGGCTTGATGGCCTCTTAACCCCCAGAACCTCTACCTGGCTTTCCCTGTGTACAGAGAGGCAGCTTGGGGAATTTTGGGGCCTGTCTCCTTAAGTGGAGTTACCTGCTCAGCCAGACTGATCCCCCACAATTGCAGGAGTGAGTCTGTCTGAGTGGGGAAAGCTGATTTTGGGGGAGTCTGGCTGAGAAAGTAGGGCTTTCCCCACTTAGCTATAGCTGCCTCCAGTGATCATGTTGCCCTTTGTCCCAGACCATCAAGGACAGGACAGGAGGCAATGTGTGTTTTGCCTAATGAAGCAGTTCATCTCATCCGCTTTGTTTGGCAACGTCTATTTCTGGCTTTAGAGACTAACTTGTTAATTTTCTAATCCAATTAGGAAACTAATAAGGAAATCATAATGTAGAGAAATCAGTCACTGACAAAATATTACTTTGGTCATTTTGACCTTGTTTCTATGATGGGATTAATTTAAATAACATAGTTAACTTGTATGTCTGGTGACATTCTGTTTAAAGTGATGGTTACTGGGAAGAAAAGAAAGAGGCTTAGGTATAACGAACTCACGGCACAGTTAGTTATATAGTGCATAATAAAATTGAAAACTTTACATTGTAAGATTCTTAAGCAGGTACCTATAAAGTTCACTTGAAAGAATAATTACACACAATGTGTCTTACCTGTAGGCAGATTTCTTAGTAATTTATTTTCAAATATTTGATGTCAGTGATTCAAATAAGACATTCTGAAATATTATTTCTATGTGCTAGTTCTTGGCCACTTAATTTTAAATTGAATCATTGAAATGTCTAATGGAAAAATTGCATTAAGTACTTCACCTCTCTTCCCTAGAGCAAGATGTCTGCTATGTCCAACATATCGTAGTTCCTTTGATTTCATAACCTGCTTTCATATTCCCCTCCAATACATTTTAAGATATTCAGAGTAGTTTTAAATCTTCTTTGAGTGACAGTTGAGCAGTATTCCTATCTTTAAAAGTTCCTTTCTGTGCGCTGAAAAGAAATTCCATGTACGCATGGCTTTTTTCATTTGAAGGGTAGGCTTGGAGTGCTCATAAAGGCTGAATGTGGTTCACTTGTCAATTCTGCCACTTTCTGTGAAATCTTTAGTTGTTGCTGCTTTAAGCTTGAGTATTTTTTTTTTTCCTGGGGAGAGCAGTTGGTATTGTTTAGACCGATATATCCCATTGGATGTTGTTAATTTCAGTCAGTGCTACCGTATACGTTTCAGTGCGTGGAACTTTTGAAGTAAAGTATAATTGAGTCCCTTCACATACTCTTTTTAAAACATGGTGTTTATAATAATACTATTTTTAACTGAGCAAACGTCAGACAATAAAGGTAAAACAACACTGGAAGCTGGAAGTCAGGTACTAACTAAGCAAGTTATTTGCCTGCTCTGCTCGGCATTGGTGAGGCCACAGCTTGAGTACTGCGTCTAGTTCTGGGTGCTGCACTTCGAGAAGGATGTGGAGAAGCTTGAGAGAGTCCAGAGAAGAGCCACTTGTATGATTAGAGGTCTGAAGAGCAAGCCATATATGAGGAAAGGCTGACAGATGTGGGACTCTTCAGCCTAGAAAAGAGAGAACTTCAGGGGGATTTGGTGGCAGCTTACAGATATATCAAGGGCT